CGAGGTCCTCTGTGCCTGCGCCTCCTTTGCCAGGAGCTAACAACAGCAGTGAAGCCCCACCCCCGCTGCCTCCCAAGTCTCCCAGCTTCCAGGCCCAGCCACCCAAGTCCAGCGTTCAAGCCTTGCCTACACCTCCAGCCCCTCCGGGATCCCAGACGTTCGTGCAGAAGAAGAGGCCCGGACGAGGCCCAGGTGAGCACCACTGTCCCGGTCCAGGGTGGCCATATCAGATGATCACCCAGCCTTGCCAGTAATTATGGAGGTGCTAGGGACACAGCCAGAGGCCTGCTTCTAGGAGCCACTTGGGGACACCCTGAGATGTCTTAACTCTTAGGATTTTGTTTTAGAACCGAGCTATCAATGCCCCTCGTGGAGCATGATGAAACTTGCTGTATGGGACTTTATGTTGTATTCATGTTAGAGACAGGAAACCAAGGGGGAGAGGGGTTGAAAGATTTGTCCAAGGTCGTGCAAACCCCTCGCCAGGCATTCTGGCCTTAATCACCTTGCAATTACTAGCTGTGTGACCCTGTACAATTCCTTAGCCTCTGTGTGCTTTCTTCTCCTCATCTGTTAAATGGGGATAGCAATAGTTCCCACCTTGTGTGATTGTTGGACCAGGGCCTGGCAACATTGAGCTCTAGAGAAGGGTTTTTTTATTCTTACTCTCATCACTCATTTACCCAAATCTCCTCTCTGCGGTGGAGGGGGCTGTGGATGCAGTTTGTTTCCAGAACCAGGTCTCTGCTGTAATTTCTGCCCGAGTTATTACACGCTGGCCCCCAGCCACAATCCGCACTGGCCCTCCACAGACTGGATTAGCATTCTGCCTTCTTGCAGGTTCTCGTGCTGACTCAAGAAAACTAAAGGTCTGCATTTCAAGCCAAATAGTAAAACTAAATCCTTCACATATCTAGCAGAGAGGGTGTTGGATTGAGCATGCGTACCCTTAACTGATGTCCAGATACTGGGGAGGCTTCGTTCACCTCTGGTGTCCTTCTGAATGGAAAGCATACGCACATACCCACACACACACACACATACACACATGCTCATAAACACCATCCACACACACACGCCAACACACATCCACACGCACACATACATATTCCTCGGTCTTTAAGAAAATCTTTTGATGCAGAAGCTTTCTGAAATGTGTTTCCTCGAATTAGAAATAATACAAGCTCATTGTAGAACAAGTAGAAAGCAACTGAAATCACCAAAATAACATCACCCAGAAATAAAAGCTGTCCCATTTCAGTGTACTTCCCATCATTTTTTTTTTCTGAGTATGTCTACGTATTTACAAAGTTAATACTATTTTGAATATATGATTCAAATATTTCTATTCTCTTTCTGTTTAATGTTACATCGAAAGCAGTCTTGTCAAACTATTAAAGTTTATTCAGAAGCATATTGATATGATCAGTGGTATATACCAGATTTCTAGCATGAAGTTGATTCTATTTTTTTCTATATTTTTCTATATTTTTATCGTAAATAGTATTGCAGGAAATACTTTTGTAGCAATTGTCACCTACCTTTTGTATATTTTGAAAAGACAGGTTCCTGATAAGGAATTCCTGATACAAAGGGCAAGAATATGTTTTTTTTTTTTTTTAAGTTTATTTATGTTCTGAGGGGAGGGGAGGGGCAGAGGAGCCTAAGCTCGACTTCTTGGAACCTTGAGATCATGACCTGAGGCGAAACCAAGAGTTGGACGCTTAACCCACTGAGCCACCCAGGCGCCCCAGGGCAAGCGTATGTGTAAGGCTCTTGGTCATGAGAGAGAAGGTTTGAGGCATTCTGTTTTCAACTGAGTGGTCACCATAAGGCCAGCATTCCTAGTAGTGAGACAGCTGCCCATGATTCGTTCATGGGATGGTGAAAACAACAATGCCTTAGATTCAGAGACATCTGAATTCAACCTGGCCTCCCCATCCACTCCTGTGTAACCTCTTGCCATTTTTTAAATGTTTTGAACCTTGCTTTTATGTGGGGGTGTTTGGGGGGGCGGCAAATGGAGATAACACCTTTCATGGAGGATCGTTACGCATATTCAGTGAGAGAATGTGCCTGAAGTGCATTGTGTAGAGCAGGGGCTCACTGTATCATCTCCTTACCATAGGAAGGGACAGTTTTTCCTCCAGAAGAGGAGTCAGCAGCCACCATAGCCCCTTCACCCCTTTAATCTGCTTACGGGAGCCAGTAAATCCTAGTGGGTCCTGATTCTGAGAAAAGGAAGACCGGGGTGGTAAGCTCAAGGCCAGGAGCAGATGCTGTTCTGGCCCGTCTCCTTGTGTCTTTGGATGTGAAACTTAGTTTTCCATGAACAAAATGAGGGCAATTTCTGCCTCAGGCCAACTGGGGGGCAGAGAAGGAGGTTGTAATCGTGGGCATTTTGTCACAGGTAATAGCGGTGTGGTGGTCATCGTTTCAATAGGTGAAGAGTAGAACACCCACACTGACGTGCTCCTTCTTAATTGCCAATGAGTCATTCAACAGAGTGCTGACAAGGGAGAGCGAGCCTCCCACAGGCATCATCAGGGCCTGGTGACGGAGGTGGGACTTGAGTTGGGCCCTGGCGGGTGGGGTGGATTTAGGTATTGACCGGAAGGAGAAAGAGTGTCTGCCGTGCAGGGGAACCCCCGCGAGCAGAACCCAGGGGATAGGAGCAAGCCCCGACAGCTTGTTCGCCCCACCTCCCTCTGCACCTCACCCACAGACAGTCCCTCCCTTTCCTCGGACTGGGCAATGGTTTCCCCTTCTTTGAACGGTGCCGTCTGATACTGAAGGTTGCTGTCACCATTAACATTGCCACAGCAGCTAACATTTGTTGAGCCCTTCCTACACGCCAGTTGACTTCACTCATTCAACCCTCTCATCAAGCCTAGAAGGTGGGTGTACTGTTATCCCCATTTCACGGTTGAGGAAACTGAGGCGCAAGGATGCTGTGTCATTATCCCTGCAAGAGAACTAGAATTCGGTCCCGAGCAGTTTGGCTCCAGAGGCTGCCTTTTCATTCACCGTAGCAAACTACATCCAGAGATCTCAGCGCCTCACCTCTCACCGAAAGTTATAGCCTCTGCCATTCCTGTCTCTGAATACTCTGGCATCTTTTCTATAAGGGACCAGTGGGGGAAAGCTAAATCCACCCCCAGCACCGCCTGCGAGGTCACCCACCACGGAGCTTTCCAGCAGAAGCCAGCAGGCCCCAGCCTGGACCCCGACACCGCAGCCGGGAGGTCAGCTGCGGAACGGAAGCCTGCATATCATCGGTAAGTGGGCCCGCCCTCGGCCCGTGCTGGCGGCCAGCGAGGAAGGGGCTTCCCTGGCCCCTGGAGGGAGTTTGCCGGCCCAGCATTTCAGGGTGCATGCTTCAGGGTGCAAGCAGGAGCTCACTCTAGCACAAAACAGCCCACAGGTTGTGTGAAATAGGGTTTCTCGCGAGGCTTTCTGGGAGGTTCCAGAACCCATTCCTCTAGCCATCTGTCTGAGTTGAGAAAGAGGGAAGAATACCGACATTTAAACTGCGCGTGTCTGCGTGTATGTGTCTGTCTCCACGGAGAAATCCAGGCATATTGGATTAAAAAAGAATAGAGTGATCTGGAAACGGTGAAAGAACGAATAGAAGGCCCACTAGACAGAGGGAGAGGTATGGCAAAAATTTGGACATAGGAAGGAAGGTTCTCTGGGCTCAGATACAAAGCCTAGATCACAAAGCAGGGACTCAGCTCATGAAAGGGCTGAACGCCACCTGTCCTCTTGCAGTCAGGAGCTCAGGGAAAATCCTGTTCGCTTTGGGGAGCCCGCGTCCCCACCTGGGGAGCCCGCGTCCCCGACTAGACACAGGCCGTGCTCCTTCCCACCAGCCGGGCTGCGGACTCCTGTTCTGCTCGCCCCTCCCAAACAAAGGCCTCCCCAGGGGCTCAGGGGTAGCTTCAGGCCACAGGGACTCTGCTGGTGCCGTGTTGCTGTCACGTTCCCCACCTCTGACTCTGGACCCTCGATAGCCCTGTGGCACTTCTGCCTTCAGAAGCTTCCTTAAGATGTTGGTCAAAGCAAACCGGAGTGGGTGATCAGGGAGAGTCTGTTGACCTCGCTTTTCCTGATTCCCCTTGTCCGAGCTAAAGAGCAAACACGGAGAGGTAAATGGGTGTCTTAGGGGGCAATCGCCCAGCCGTTAAAACCCTTGCACTGGGCAGGCAAACCTGTGTGCTCCTGGAAATTTTCAAAACTTGGGTCATCACAATAACTAGAGTAATTTGGCTGTTTTCCACGTGGGCAGATGACTTTGAGTCGAAATTCACGTTTCATACTGTGGAAGACTTTCCTCCTCCAGATGAGTATAAACCATGCCAGAAGAGTTACCCCAGCAAGATCCCCAGAAGTAAGTACCACCTTGGGAAGCCTCTTGGTTTATACCCAGAATTAAGTGCTTAGTGTGACTGATGGGCTGCAGGCTGCCTAAAGGATGACGTCATGATTTCACTACTCAAGGGTACAGTGCTATCCATGCTTCTGGAAGCGTCAGAACATTTCCTGGCCCCCAAGGATTCATTTAGAAGCTTTTTATTCCAGCATTGATTGTTTGGCTTCGGGTTTGAGTGCCTAGAGTCACCACTTGTCCCTCCCCACCTTAGGGCTTTTGACAAGGGAGCTGAACACCCCGAGACAACAGCAAAGTGGGACACAGGAGCTTTGTATTAATAACTAGAGAAGATTCTTAAAAACCCCAATTCAGAACTCTAGCAGACTGTGAAATGGGGAATGTCCTTAGGTCAATGATTCTCAACCTTGAATACACATTAGAACAACCCAGAGAGCTTTTAAAAATCCCAACGGCCAGACTGCACCCACACCAACTAAATCAAAATATGCAGGGTGGGATCCAGGTGTCCATATTTCTGAAAGTTTCCAGGTGATTCCAATGCCCAGCCAAGGCTGAAAAATCTCAGCCTGGGGAGAAACTGCCTTCTCCCAATTTCATCGTGTGGACAGCCTCCAAGGAGAAGCCTGCACTCTGCTTACCTGTTTAGCCCGAAGAGTGGAAGAGAAAGAGTCTGGCCTGCCCCTCAGGGCCAAAAGGGCAGGGAGGCAAGTACTTTAGGAAAACAGGAAGCCAAGAAAAGCAAGATGGGTTGTGAACCACACAGTGATGCTGCCTGTCAGTTAATATGAGCCAGACCTGGTCCAGTGCTGAGCCAATCCGATTGGGCAGGAGCTGGTAAGAGGGGACAGAGACGGCAACATGGGGTAAGGGTCATATGTTTCCCACCCCACAGCATGGGTGAGTCCCCCAATCCCAGACATCTGTAGACTAGCATGGAAAACTATCAGTGTCCTGAGTTAGCCCAAGACCGTGAACTGGGCTCTTTGACCTCTTCCTTCAGAGGAACTTTTGGCAAAGGCTCTTCTCCAGCGTTCATCTCCCTGCAGGCAGGCCAGGGAACTTGAGCCTGTGCCCTGCTCAGGTCACAGGTGCCCTTGGAATCAGCCTGGGCAGCTCTTTTTCTGCTGGCCTGTGGGATTGCACATTTAGACAGAAGTGGCCTTGTGTGCTTTTTTTTTTTTTTTTTTTTTTTTTTTTCAACGTTTATTTATTTTTTTGGGGGACAGAGAGAGGCAGAGCATGAACGGGGCAGGGGCAGAGAGAGAGGGAGACATAGAATCAGAAACAGGCTCCAGGTTCCGAGCCATCAGCCCAGAGCCTGACGCGGGGCTCGAACTCACGGACCTCGAGATCGTGACCTGGCTGAAGTCGGACGCTTAACCGACTGCGCCACCCAGGCGCCCCGCCTTGTGTGCTTTTTAAATAATATGTAAAGTCTACTGCTGTGAACTTAAAGAGAAAGAGGAGGAAGAGAAGAGCAGGACAGAATGGAGGGCCAAAGATGAAGTCAGTACAAGACTCATTTCCTTTCCCTAAGCAAAGGTTTGCTCACCGGCCACCTTCATGCCCCAAATCCCACCGTTCTTTGTTATACCCGGACTGTAACACGTGAATGTGACACGTGGCCCCTACCCTAAACCAGAGGTCAGCAAACATTTTCTCTAAAGGGCCAGAAACGACATATTTGAGGCTCTGCAGGCCACACGTTCTTGGTCACAACGACTCGGTCCTGCTATTTTGACCTGAAAAGAGCCACGGACCACACATAAATGGATGGGCACGGCTGTCTCCCAATAAAACTTTATTAACAAAAACAGGTGCTGGCTGGATTTGGTCTGCCGGCCATACTTTGCTGATCGCTGCACTAAATTGTTCCAGAAAAGCGGATTCTTCGAAATCTCCTTCTTTTGTGCGGCCTTGCTCAGTAGCGTGCTGTGCAGTCCTTCGACCTTCAGACTCAGCAAGTTCTAAAGTTAGCCGTACTTTTGAGCCCAGGGTGCCCAGTCTCCTCCCTGAGAATGGAAGAGAAGCCACCACAGGAGGACACAGCTGGCAGTCTGCACTGCGTTCCTCTCATCTCAGAGAGAGGGTCAAATCAGTGCCCACGCACAAAAAGATAATCTGAGGCTCAGGAAGATGCAGTTAAAAAAAAAAAAAAAAAAAAAAAAAAAAAAAAAAAAAAAAAAAAGAGGAAACGAGAAAGAAAGCGAACTGACATCCCACAGACCAGAAAGGGTATTTGCAGTTTCAAAAATAAAATATGGTTTTAGGTTGATGAGGCATTGACGGGCATAAAATACTCCCGTGGCTTCCTAGCACAATTAAATTAGCATGTTCCTGCCATCCCTGTGAGCGGTGGGGTAGAACCTTGTTAATTCTATCAGTGTGAGTCTGATACAGTTCATGCCTGTCTGGTTACATCTCTCCTTACAGCTTTCTTCCTTCTCCCCATTGACCTGGTTCCCCGAGATTCGCGTTCTTCATGTCTGGGGGACGGTGTTGGTTCTGTTTCACACTCTTTTGTAGCAATTCTGGCTTTGTCTCCTCCCGCTTGCTCGCTTTCTCTCTCTGCTCCTGACACACACACAGCCCCCAGATCCCCTAATGCTTAGCTTTTCTACCTGTTCTCTTCACTGTCTCCACCCTGCAGGTGTTAGCTGTTTTCTTCCTTTGACAGGGTGATTTTACCTAATTTTTTGATGTTCTCAAAATGCATTAGTGGGCCCCTGGGTGGTTCAGTCAGTTAAGCGTCTGACTCTTGGTTGCGGCTCAGGTCATGATCTCGTGGTTTGTGAGTTCGAGCCCCACACTGGGCTCCACGCTGTTAGGGTGGAGCCTGCTTGGGACTCTCTCTCTCTCTCTCTCTCTGCCCCTCCCCTGCTTGCATTCTCTCTCTGTCTCTCTTTCTCTCTCTCTTTCTCTCTCTCAAAATAAATAAAATAAGCACTAAAAAATTTCTTTAATGCATTAGGTTCCTCGATAAGCTAATCATGTAATTACCATAGGACCCAGCAATTCCATTCCTGGGTATACAGTGAAAAGATCTGGGTTCAGACAAGACCTCATACACACATTCACAGCAGCACTATTCACAATAGCCAAAAGAGAGAAACATCCCAATGTCCATCAGCTGATGAATGGACAAAGAAAGTATATAGCCATACAATGGAATGCTATTCGGCACTAAAAGGAAATGAGGTGCCATAGATTCCACAACACGGATGAACCTTGAACACGTCATGATGAGGGAAAGAATCCAGACACAAAAGGCCACATACTGTATGATTCCATTTGTGTGACATACCCAAGACAGGCAGACCCTTAGAGACAGAACGTAGATTTAGCAGTTGCCAAGGGCTGGGGGTATGAAGAACGAGGAATGACTGCTCATGGGTATGGGTTTGCTTTGGGGATGATGAATCTGTCCTGAATCTAGACAGAGGTGACGGTTGCACAACATTGTGAAGGTACGAAAGGCCATCAGTGGCAAATTTTACGTTATGTGCATTTTCGTGCAATAAGAAGAAAGTAAGAAAAAATGAGCCATCAGGAGGGATCTCTGGGGGAAATTGCGTAGGTCACAAATGCTTATTAACATAGTGTTGATAGAAAGAGTGAAGTTATCATTATATTGATCCATACCTACTGAGGCCCTTACCCACTAGAGAGATTCAGATAAATGATCCCCCGCCATGCCCTCAAGAAATTCACATTCTGATGGAGAAAGGGAGGAGAGGCAGACACCTAACCCAACATTTCAGTCTGGCGTTCCCAGCAGTCATGTCAGTGGGAAAGTGGCTGGTTAGAAATTTGCTTACATCTCGGGGCGCCTGGGTGGCTCAGTTGGTTAAGCGTCCGATTTCAGCTCAGGTCACAATCTCACGAGTTCGGGCCCCGCGTCGGGCTCTGGGCTGACAGCTCAGAGCCTGGAGCCTGTTTCAGTTTCTGTGTCTCCCTCTCTCTCTGCCCCTCCCCCATTCATGCTCTGTCTCTCTCTGTCTCAAAAATAAATAAACGTTAAAAAAAAAAAAGAAGAAATTTGCTTACATCTCAACTCCTTTTTTTTTTTTTAACTTTCATGGTTTGAAAATACAAAACATGAAATTTTCCATCTTAACCACTTCTGAGTGTACATTTCAACAGCGTTAAGTATGTTCACATTGTTGTGCAACCCATCTCCAGACCTCCTTCCATCCTGCAAAACTGAAGCTTCGTACCCAGTAAACCCATTAAAATCGGACTACTCTCGGTTCCTCATATAAGTGGCACCCTCTAATATTTGACTTTTTGAGACTGGCTTCTTTCATTTAGCACCATGTCCTCAAGGTTATTCACTTTGTACCATCTGTCGGAATTCCCTGCCTTTCTAAGGTTGAATAACATCCCATTGTATGTACGTATGGCATGTGTTCACCCATTCATCCATCCATGGACACTTGGGTGGATTCCACCTTTGGCTATTGTGAATAACGCTGCTGTCAACATGGATATACAAATACCTCTTTGTGTCCCTGCTTTCAATTCTTTTGTGTATATGCCCGGAATTGCTGGATCATATGGTAACTCTATTTTTTAATTTTCTGAGGAACCACCATATTGATTTCCATCTTACATTCCCATCAACAGCACACAAGGGCTCCAGCACGTCCTCGCTAACACTTGTTATTTTCTGGGTTTTGTTTTGTTCTACTTATTTATTCATTTTTTTGATAGTAGCCATCCTAACAGTCGTGAAGTGGTACCTTGTTATGATCCAGTTCCTATTTTAAAAGAGTTACTGGGGTGCCCGGGTGGCTCAGTCGGTTGAGTGTCCAACTTTGGCTCAGGTCATGATTACACAGTTCGTGAGTTTGCACCCACGTTGGGCTCTGTGCTGACAGCTCAGAGACTGGAGCCTGCTTCAGGTTCTGTGTCTCCCTCTCTCTCTACCCCTCCCCTGCTCATGATGTCTCTCTCTCTCTCTCTCTTAAAAATAAACATTAAAAAATTTTAAAGAATAATACATAAAAGAGTTACTTTACATTTATGGCAAAACTAGCCACCACGATTTCCATTAGCAAAGAAACTTCTCCACCAAGTGCTGCCCTAACAGTACTGGATGGTTCATGTCATGAAATCAAAGGATTAGATGTCCCAAGACTGAGAGAATCCGTAGACACTGCCAGAAGCTAAGCATCTATTACTGCCTTTGCGGAGGGCCGCAGGGCGGTGAGGAATCTGCCCTGGGCTTAATCTTAGCCGTGCCTGATCATCACTGTTGACCTCACTCGTTCATAAGCTATCTTCCAACATCCCACTCTGTTACTACTCCTGTCCTTCTAGATTATTCCTTTATTCCTCTGAACCGGCAAAGGTGTTATCGTGCCTATAAAGCATCTCCCTTGGCCTACTCTGGTCGTTGGGCTATTTCTCCGCTCACAGACAGTGCCATGCCTTCTTCCTCCTCTTCTGCCCTTTCAGGCATTTTTCCCCACCCCTACCCCATGGAAAGAGACCTTAGCAAGGCCTCCAGGGGACCTCCATGTCACCAAAGCCAGTGGTCAGATGTATTAGCCGCAGTCCGTCACACCCTCCTTCTGAAGCACATCTTCACTTAGATTTTCTGGCATCCCTCGCTTTCTTCCCTCCTTCCACTTTGTGCTTGCTGCCTCCCCATTTTTTGGCACACCAAATACTTTGGAGTCCTCTCTGGCTTCTTTCTTTCTCTTCTGCTCCACATCCAACTTACCAGAAAAATCTTGGGGCTCCTCCTCTGAAGTATATCTTCGATCTGATCTCTGTCGCCTCGTCTTCCGCCTCAGCCCGGCCAAAACCACTGTCATTGCTCATCTGGAGACTGCAGGCGACCTACCAACAGGCTTCCCTGCCCCATACTGCAGGCCCCATGATTTGTCTAGAGCCCAAGTCTAGTCAGGCCACCGTCTGCTTCAAATCCTCCACTGAATTCCTGTCTCGTTCTATATCCATTAGAAATTCCCGGGGCGCCTGGGTGGCGCAGTCGGTTAAGCGTCCAACTTCAGCTCAGTCACGCGATCTGGCATGGTCTGAGTTCGAGCGCAGACGTGCGGCTTCTGGGCTGGATGCACGAGCCTGGAGCCTGCTTCGCCAATCTCTTGTCTGCCTCTCTCTCTGCCCCCCCCCCGTTCATGCTCTGTCTCTCTCTGTCCCAAAAATAAATAAACGTTGAAAAAAAAATAAAAAAAAAAAAAAAGAAATTCCCACCTGACTCATCAGACCTACATGAAGTGCCCACCCAACCAGCCGCACTCCCCACAAAACCTCCTTTCGCTCCAACAGCACAGACAACTTGGAGCTTGTAGAAAACTCCAAGCGCACTCCCACCTCTGGGCTCTGGGTTCTTTGTACTTGCTGTTCTTTCTGCGGGACGCTTTCCCCTGATATCCATGAGACTTCCTCCCTGCCTCCTTTGGGTCTTTGATCTAATGGCGCTTTATCAGACACTTCTTCCCTGACCTCTCTTTATTTGATAGCCCTCCCTGCCCCGCCACTCTTGTTCCTTCTGTTTTATCATCTTCTTCAATTAAGAAATGATTTTGTGGGGGCGCCTGGGTGGCTCAGTCGGTTAAGCGTCCAACTTTGGCTCAGGTCATGATCTCATGTTCGTGGGTTCCAGCCCCACATTGGGCTCTGTGCTGACAGCTCAGAGCCTGGAGCCTGTTTCAGATTCTGTGTGTGTGTGTGTGTCTCTCTCTCTCTGCCCTCCCCTGCTCACTCTGTCTCTCAAAAAAAATGAATAAACATTAAAAAAAAAATTTTTTTTTTAAACAGAAATCATTTTGTGAATCTATATGGAGAGGGAGAATAAGTTGTTGACCAAATCAACAGAAGAGAGAAGGGGCCAGAAGCATATACACTAAGTGTGGAGAGTGGTTAGCACTCAGAGGTAGAATGCTGGGTGGTGTTTATTGTCCTTATGCCTCACTGTTTTGTCCAAGTTTCCTGTAACAAATACTTATTACTTTTTGAGCATTAACGCTAATTTTAAAATTCCAGTTTATTGGGAGGGACGCTTCGGTGGCTCAGTCGGTTGAGTGTCTGACTCTCAGTTTCGCTCTGGTCCTGATCTCACAGTTCTGGAGTTGGAGCCCCACAGGATCTGCACTGTCAACGCAGAGCCTGCTCGGGATTCTCTCTCTCCCTCTCTCTCTCTCTGCCC